TGTATAAGTTATACATGTATTTAGTGAGAATCGGTGAAAGGGTTTCCGATTTTTGACTTTCTAATTTTTACCTTACCGATTTCTGCTTGAAAAGTGTATAAGTTATACATGTAATTTTATATAGAGTATCATTAAAGGAAGGTTAGTATTGAATTTGGCGATAACCGGTAAAAAAGGGTTTTTTTAAAATAAAATTTGGAATTTTTTTAGAAATCCGCCAATTTGGAGATATTGGGCTATAATTCTATTATATTCTTCAGTCTTTTCTACCTCTATTTCATATATTTTCCAACGTATCGTGATAAATTATCAAAATGACATAAATATATGAAACCAGCAGCTTATAATGACAAGAGAGTGAATTAATAGCAGGTCAGCTTAGTAATTCCACAAACAGTTTTTATGGAAAATCAATACATCAAACTTCGTACTGATTGTATTGATTTTCTCAGTACATGAGAAACGCCATTTGTCGGTGACACGCTTTACATGAATGCTTTGCATTTCACTTTTTAAGTGAAAAATTGAGGTTCTGTGTACATACATCGCGAGCGAGCAATCTCAAAATTCCCGAAAAAACGCCCGGATAAATCAAGGGATGATGGCGCTGATCGGTAAGTGAAATATCAGAAAAGCGGAAATGACTCAATAGTGTAAAACTCGAGTAGAAAAAGACCGGTTACGACATGTTTAATTCATGAAAACATTTATGCGGTCCGATTTGAAAGTAGAGGCATTTAGATTACATTCATCCCACGTTACTTTTGTCTCTAGTTTCCTTTACTAATGTCAAACAACAAATTACTAATCTAAATTTTTGAATTGCCTATATCTATGATGCATAAAAGAACGTGGAAACAGGCGATTCAAATTTATTTAAGTTAGAGTAGAATGGAGCAAAAGTACACACACTTAGTTTTTAATCCCATATATCTACCGTTGAGATATAGCTAGAGTCTTGAAATTTGAACTGTAAAATCTTCAAACATTTTTTTTCTTCAAAATTTACTAGGGTTTATGTTTATATTTTGAATACATTCCATGTAATAAGCTTTTCTTGAACTGATTGCAAAAACGCACTTTTGCCCCACCGGTGAGGCAAAAGTTCGCATGCAGTAGGGCAAAAGTGTGCAATGCAGGTATATTTGTTTTCGTGTAAATTAGGTTATTGACAATACCTAGTTAATTCGTAAACTGTCATGACTGAGTAGCGCCATATGACAGCCGATTCGACTGAATAGCGTTAAAACTATTAGTATTTTTTATTTGTTAACTCGACCCGACTCGGGTCAGATCGAAAGTTCAGTTTGAAACTCGATGACTCTAAACTATCATGGTAGAAAGCATTTCTTAACTTAACTTCTGTCACATATTCTTAGCATTATCATATTTTATTATCATTTTTCCAAACTTTTAATCTGACTCAAGTCGGGTTGAGTCAACAAATCAAAAACGCTAAGTTTCATTTTTCAGCTTTCTGATATAATATTTTGATTTCTTCCAATTGGGAATTGAGAATTGAGAATTGAGAATTCGGAATTGGGAATTGGGAATTGAGGATTAAGAATTGAGAAGTGAGAATTGAAAATGGAGTTTAGAGTTACTGAATAGTTTAATTTATAGTCAGATTTTTAAGATTTTTGGTGAAATAATTAGTCATGATTTAATTTTTACTAGAAGGAAGAGGTGATATCTGTTTGTCGTAATTAGATTTCTTTTATATAAAGGATAGAGGGAATAGAAAATCGGGTTTGAATAACAGATACTGATACTTCTAAAATAAATAATAAATATTTATAATTAAAATTGAGAATTGAGAATTGTAAAAAAATACCTGCACTGCGCACTTTTATCGGTCGCGCACTTTTACCCCACTCTACTCTATGTGTGAAATAATTAAAAAATTATTATTCCTATAATTTGAGAAGCACATTTTATGATCAAAATTGCAAGTAAATATTATATGGATGCCCTAATAAAACTTTTGTCTGTTCAATTTTTTTTAGCTATTGATTGTTTCATCATTACATTTATTTTATAATTTTTAATAATTTAATAATCTTTTGAATGTACACTTACTCATCTCGACTCTGGATTCTTGTGGAATGTCTTTCTAAATGTTGTCGTAAAGGTGCTATATTTATTAAAAAAGACAATGTTTTGCAACAATCTATACATTTTGCCTTATACCCCGGTAATTCCGAGTAATATTGCCTCAAGTCATCAGGTAGTTTGAAAGTGTCATCCTTGAGAAATATTCCATGTCTTTTTAATAAGTGTACTCTCATTATTTTTGTGCGTCTTGTTGGAGGATTAGGTGTCTTAATTTCTTTTTTACAGATCGTGCACTTTACCAGCGAAGGTTTCAATCCCTTGAAATAATCCCACAACTTTCTGCGTTTTCCTTTTGGTGCCGTCCTGTAATACAGATTGTTTGATATTAAATGTGATACAATTATCGCCTTAATAAGCAAAAAGAGACATGGTTTATTAAGTGGAATGTACGTTTATGTGGATAGTTCAAATTTACCAGATCGCGTACAGATCTTCAAACTTACTTTTTTCCAAGAAAGATAAAAAAAACGCGCCAAATATACGTGTACCATACAAAATTTTTATTAAAAGTATTTAAATTTTATTTGATCTTTTAATTTTATTTGTATTTTTTACTATGTAAACAACGATGTCAGAAGGTTTCCGCTTAGTAAATATGATGAATTAGTAACTTTTTTTTTATTAATGATGTTTAATAATTATACTTGTTGTGTACCTGTTCTATTTTAGAACGAATAGACAATTTCTTTTGTCCCTTTTGGAGATTTTATAGACTTTAGAGAGAAAATGAGACTATATAAACTATCAAATGACAACTTATTTCAACCGGTTTAAAAAAAGTCGGTATTGAAAAATTAACCCCACCACCGCTATTCTCGGAAAATTCTACCTCTGTTTCATATATAATTCTTGAAAATTCGGTTTATTAACAAATGAGTAGTTTGCGGAAAACGTTGCAAGAAAAAAATCGGTAACCTTTTTTGGAGACTTTATAGACTTTAGAGAGAAAATGAGATTATATAAGCTATCAAATAACAACTTATTTATTACGATTATTATTTTCGAAAATATAACAAAAAACTACACAACCGGTTTAAAAAAAATCGGTATCAAAAAATTAACTTCACCACCGCCATTCCCGGAAAATTCTACCCCTGTTTCATATATAACTCTTTAAAATTCGGTCTATTAACAAATGAGTAGTTCGCGGAAAACGTTGCAAGAAAAAAACTTTCTACCGCTACTATATCTAAACAGTAAGAAATAAAGAGTTCGGACTTGTTTTATCATAAATGGGACTTTTTACGCTTTAAAATGAGATGTCAATTATTACTCTACGATTATTAGTTTCGAAGATCTAAACGTTCAAAGTGTGACATGTTTTCGTTGCATCGTCGCGTTGCATCGTGCACCCGATATTATCCCCCTTACCGCGGAGAAAGACGTAGTTCTACGTAAAAAAAAATTACAAATTTATCTTATTTACTTGATCCAAACTTTGGGGTACCATTGTTTTTGTAGCAAGAAAAATAATTAAAATTATATAACAAAATTAGATCAAAATTTTTGACGTAGAACTACGCCTTTGTCAACAGTAAGAGGGGGTAAATCCAGGCACAGATGCAACGAAAACATGTCACACTTTGAACGTCTATATCTTCGAAACTAATAATCGTAGAGTAATAAATAAGGTGCCATTCGATAGCTTATATAATCCCATTTTCTCTCTAAAGTCTATAAAGTCTCCAAAAGGGGTTACCGATTTCTATCTTAACAAATCTCCATGATTGCTTTAATTTTTGTTATGCAACAAAAACATGTCACACTTTGAACGTTTATATCTTTGAAACTAATAATTGTAGAGTAATAAATAAGGTGTCATTTGATAGCTTATATAGTCCCATTTTCTCTCTAAAGTCTATAAAGTTTCTAAAAGGGGTTACCGATTTCTATCTTAGGAAATCTTCATGATTGCTCTAATTTTTGTTATATCTTCGAAACTAATAATCGTAGAGTAATAAATAAGGTGTCATTCGATAGCTTATATAGTCCCATTTTTTCTCTAAAGTCTGTAAACTTTCCAAAAAAAGTTACCGATTTCTATCTTAACAAATCTCCATGATTGCTCTAATTTTTGTTATATCTTCGAAACTAATAATTGTAGAGTAATAAATAAGATGTCATTCGATAGTTTATAAAGTCCCATTTTCTCTCTAAAGTCTCTAAAATCTCCAAAAAAAGTTACCGATTTCTATCTTAACAAATCTCTATGATTGCTCTAATTTCCGTAAATTTTGTGATATTAAGCTGAAATTTATTTTGATGGATAGAGTGTTATTAAAGAAAGGTTGGTATTGAATTGGGTAATGATTGGTGAAGGGGTTACCCCGATTTTTGTTTTAACAAATCTTCGTGTTTGTTTTGTGATATTGAGCTGAATTTTTTGATGGATAGAGATGATCATTAAAGGAAGGTTGATATTGAATTTGACGTCAATCGTTGAAGAGGTTACCGATTTATGTCTAAAAAAATGTAAAGTTATACATGTAATCTTGTATGGAATATCGTTAAAGGAAGGTTGGCATTGACTATGGCGAGAATCGGGAAAAGGGTTACCGATTTCTGCAAGAAATTTATACTTAACACTGGGAGGATCTTGTATTGACATGAATTTGTCGTCAATCCGGGGATATCGATTTGTGCCTAAATAGATTATGTTATACATGCATTCGTATATAGAGCATAGAGCATAGAGCATCATTAAAGGAAGATTGGTATAATATTGAATTTGGCGAAAATCATTGAAGGAGTAACCGATTTTTGCTTTAAAAGAAATGTGTAAGTTATACATGTAATTGTATATAGAGTATTATTAAAGAAAGGTTGGTATTGAATTTGGCGAAGATCGTTGAAGGAGTAACCGATTTTTTATTTAAAAAAGTATAAGTTATATATGTAATCTTATATAGAGCATCATTAAAGGAAGGTTGATATTAAATTTTCTGATGATCTGAAAAGAGGTTACCGATTTCTGCTTTTAAAACTATAAAAAATTTGTCAATATAATAAATAAAACGTGCAAATTAGAAATTTGCACATTGCTCCCTCATATTTTTACTTCGCGTGTAAAGTTTCTTCTATGAGGAAGCCAATCTATGATAGGCTAATAATTTTGAAAAATTTCTCTTACAGGAAACTTTATGAGGGAAAAAAATGGTTAGGAAGCAAGTTTTAGATAAAAATTTAGAAATGCCGCAAAAATAAAAAGAAAATTATTATATATGTATGTGTATATGTACTTATATGTGTATATATTCAAACGTATCGCTCTTTGAATGATTATATTTATAAGTTGCTGGTTTCACATATTATATGTCAATTTGATAATCTGTCAATATATACACAATATGTTGTAGAGAAAACATTAATAAATAAATATTAATATACACATGTATTGAAATTTATATCTAAAGATTAAACGTAAAGAAATGGAAGAATATACTAGTGAAAGAATATACTAGTGTTTATCGACAGTAAGTAGGGGGTAAATCTAGGAGCACAGATGCAACGAAAACATATTTTTGAAACTAATAATTGTAGAGTAATAAATAAAGTGTCATTCGATAACTTATAGAGTCCCATTTTCTCTCTAAAGTCTCTAAAGTCTCTAAAAAGGATTACCGATTTCTATCTTAACAAATCTCTATAATTGCCCTAATTTCCGTAAATTTTATGACATTGAACTGAATTTTTTGATGGATAACTTATCATGAAAGGAAAGTTGGTATTGAATTTGTCGTCGATAGGGGATACCGATTTATGCCTAAATAGAGTATAAGTTATACATGTATTCTTATATAGAGCATCATTAAAAGAAGGTTGGTATTGAATTTTCTGATGATCTGGGAAGAGGTTACCGATTTCTGCTTTAAAAGTGTATGAAGTTTTCTACTTCTATTCCATATACAATTTTTATTATAAATTTACAAATATAATAAAAAAAAGTGTTCAATTTAGAAATTTGCAGATTGCTTCCTCAATTTGGTCAATTTTTCATAGATAAAACTTTATGAGCAATATGTACTTATATGTGTATACATGTACATGTATGTGTATATGTGTATACATATATTCAAACGTATCACTCTTTATTTCCATCTCATAAATGATTATATCTATAAGTTGCTGGTTTCACATATTTTATGTGAATTTGATAATCTGTCAATATATATGATACGTTGGACTGTCAATACTCGAACATCGATATCCTCAAAAGTGACGAATTGTATTAAACAGGAAATCATTTCGTCATATGAGTCAGGAAACAATAATACAGAAAAAAGATATAAAGGATTAAGAGATTGTGAGAGTAAGAAAAACGAGGAAACCTGGTGAAAGTTCACCATATTTTTTACTTAAAAAGCTTCCTATATGAAAAAGCCTAAGGTAAAATTATAAAAAGATTATATATTTGGGAAAGAAAACGGGCACAGTAACAACTGTGCCGCAAACAACAACGTAGAACTACGTTAACTGTAACTATTTCATGTTAAGAGGATCCTGCAGTGATAGACGAACTTCCTCGATGTCGATAATGTCAACCTTTCTAATTTTGTTTTTCCTATATCTGTCTTTGTCTAACGAAATGACATCTGTCCTTTTTTCGATTGCTCGCCATCTCTCGCAAGATCCGGCAACTACTATTGCTGCTCTTCTTGTCATTTTGCATCCGTATTTGCATTACTAAAATAATTTTTCGATGGATCTTTTTTTGTACGCATTGAATCTTACTTCTACTTGCACGGTATTATTCCTACATGTTTTCCCAAGGGCAGATGATAAACATTATGTATGTATAAACTGCAGAATTTTTGTTTTAAGCAAATATTGTCGTCAGGTGACAGTTGTGTATGTGCCCAAATAAGTAATATTTTTAATTTTTTGATGTTTTTGATATAAAATCGCGTTGCGATTTGTTACCGTTGTTAATTTGCTACCCTAGATTTTTGTGCGTACTTTAATTCTGTAAAAGATTTTTGCAATTCTATAAAGCCAATTAAAAAATCCATCGAAAAACGATAATGTCGGTAAATCATACGGCTGCAGGATCCCCTTAAAGTATTCAACGAAGGAAAGTAGACGTAGGGTTACGTCAACTGTCTTTCGATGAATACTATAACATGAAATAGTGACAGTTGATGTAGCCCTACGTCTACTTTCCTTCGTTGAATGAAATAATGACAGTTGACGTAGTTCTACGTTGTTATTTTTTTCAATAAAGATTGTGTATGGAGTGTGTATACCTGGCGCACTTTATTAACTTTTTTTTTAAGTATGTTTTGTACGGATATCACTCCTTTTTTACAATTACATGGAAACCATGAAAATATAAAACCTTTGATATATTAATTTGCAAATAAAAAACGCGGACAATAAGGAAGTAAAGGTATTGCTCTGCAGAATGATTTGTATCATAACACGTCGAACTCGAAAAGCTTGTTCTGCATCGAAATGTGTTGAATTAGAAATGGAATTATATAAAATATTAACCTTATAAATTATTCTTTGCAGAAAAGTAAATTTTTTAATAATGAGATATCATTATATTGTGTGATACAAGCAAAACAATTACCCATCACATGCCTTTGTTTCTTTTCTCGATTGTTTACATGTTTGAGGATCTAAATCAACTGTTTCCTGACTGTAACATTCTGCGGTAGAATTCGTATTATAACCCGTTAAAATTGAAGTGCTTGATCTGCATTGAAATACACGGTGCAATTAGAAATAAAATTATTTAAAATATTAATATTATAAATTATTCTTTTTGCAGAAGAGTAAGTATTTCAAGAGTAAGATATATCATTATATTGTATAATATAAACAAAACAAATAATTACCTAACACGTGCCCTTGTTTCTTTTTTCAATTGCTCACATGATTGAAGAGTCAAATCAACTGTTTCCTGATTTCGATGTTCTGCATTGGGATCTATATCGTAACTCGTTGAACTTGAAGTGCTGGGTCTGCATTGGAAAACGGTGCAATTAGAAACAGAATTATGTAAAATACTAACGTCGTAAATTTTACTCTCTCGTAAAAGAGTAAAAAATTAAATATCAAGATATCATTGTATTGTATGATATAAGAAAAACAAATAATTACTCATTAAGTGCGCCTGTTTTTTCTGTTGTTTCTTTAAATAATTGAACGGGCAAACCAGATGTATCTTGACTTTAACGTTATTAAGGTTAAAGAAAAAATAGTTGAGTCAACTCGTTGAAGAAAAAATATGTGTAGTGTGCAAAAAATATTATTAAGTTACTAAGTCCCAAGCTCAGACTGTAAATGGCTTATTCAATATTTATATAGAATAAAATTATTATTATTATTATTATGATTTAAGAGGCTCTTTTATGATCAAAATGTTATGCCCCGATAAAAACTTGTACTCGCGCATTTCTTTAGCTGTTGATCGTTCTATTGCATTTATTTTATAGTCTAGTATTGTATTTTAATAATTTTTTGAATGTGTACTTACTCATCTCGACTCTCGATTTTTGTGCAATGTCTTCCTAAATGTACTCGTAAATTTCCAACATTTGTTAACATAGACATTGTTTTACCACAGTCATTACATTTTGCCTTATGTCTCGGTAACTCTGAGTAATATTGCCTCAAGTCGGCAGGTAGTGTGTCATTATCGAGAAATATTCCATGTTTCTTTAAATGTGCTCTTAATATTGTTGTGCGGCTTGTTGGATGCGGTATCTTAATTTCTTTTTTACAGGTCGTGCACTTTACCAGCTTAGATTTCAATTCCTCGAAATAATTCCACAACTTACTATGTCTTCTTTTTGGTACCATTATAATTATCCTGTTATACAAATTGTCTGATACTAAATATGATACAGTGATCGCCACAACAATAAGCGTTTGCAAAACGCTTCTACGGTGTAAACTAAACCATAGAACTATAATATATACTATACTGGAACGTGAACTCCCATGCTAGCATCCGGTCCACGAGGAAAAAAAGACGGATTGCTTTGCGACTAGAGTCCTTTGCGACCGTTCTCTCTCTGTTTAGCAGACTTTTGATTGGTCAATAGTATTCAGTTGTTGTCGTGAAGTACAGCAGAGGAGCGTTCACGAATTACGCTTAGGCACACCTAGGGGTGCGTTCAGAAATTACGCCTAGGGATAATTACCTAGGTAACTCTAATGCTATAGTATATGTGACGTAAACTGTAGCTTTTCAGCGAGAAATGACCCATCGAATCGACGCCTAATCTAACCGCCATATTCCTGGTAGCTGGATAAAAAGACCCCGCACAAAAACATATGAAAATAGGTTCTCGGCGAATTTGTCTAAAACTTTGGGAAAATGTTGTTCATGTCATCTTGATCAAAAGTTCTCATGACAACAACTCTCTTTAAAGCAGAATTTTGTCCTCAGGTTTTATGGGTTATGCAATACACACACAAACACACACAATCATTTATTCTGAAAGCTGAATGGGTAAAATCATTTGTGATCGCGTGATAAAATATCCATGCATCTTTGAGGTCTCCTGGAGCTAAAATACTGCTTTAAAGAGAGTTGTTGCCACGAGAACTTTTGATCAGAATGACATGAACAACATTTTCCCAAAGTTTTAGACAAATTCGCCGAGAACCCATTTCCATAAGTTTTTGTGCGGGGTCCTTTGTTACTAAAAAAGTTCAATTTCTTTACTGTGTATACTTATACTGTGACTCTAAGTGGCTGCGCATAATGAAAGGAATAGAGAACAAGAAACAGGGAATAGGGAATAGTTCAATAATTAATATATAAAAATCATCAACATATGTGATTTATTAACACAGAATAGACGAACAGAGGAATAGCACTATAAGAAACAGTGATAAAATTTTATTCTATATTCTGCATGCCATATGCACAATGCATATGCTAATATTAAACTGTTCTTTATTCCCTGTTCTCTATTCCTTTCATTTTGCTTAGCCCCTAATGCTATAAGTTGAATTTCTGAACGCAGTCCAACAAAAAAGGAGGGGTTGGCCGCAATTCTCCCTCCCGCTTGTCCCGTTTTCTTCTCAGTAGAGTGAGTCGAGTTCAGATTCTAGTTTAGTATATAGTTCACTGCGTGTAAAGTATATCAGTGCTGCCATTTCAAAAATTTTTAACATTTGGTAGCCATGCTTATTCTTAAATATGAGCTACTACAATATGAAAATTAAAAAAATATTTTTATTGAAAGTTTAGTTTACCATATATAATTTACTTTTTAATTATATTATTGTATAAATGGCTCATGGAAAATTGAGCGATTATTCAAAACGTCAGTAATTGTTTATTTTAATTAACATTTATATAGAACCAATGCGATGCAACCAATGCAATGTTTCACACTATTAAAGAGTTACAGGACTCTGACAGAAATAAAAATTAAAAAAAATTTGGGTCAAATTGTGAAAAGTTATAAATTAATAGAAGTACGAATTTTTTGTTATATATATTTAGTAAGTATGTATAATATGCACAGTATCTTGGCATAAAAAAATTATATTTTATAGTAATAAGTATTAACATTATTGTGTCCATTTTTTAGAATAAAATTTTTTTAAACTGTAACGATAACTTGAGAACGTTATTCGAATAACTTCATATTTGACACAAATGTTTACCATAATTGTCTACTAATCAGTTCACAGAGCAGTCATCGCAATCAAAATTAAATATGTTGTTAGGACTTTCCCTTAAAAGGAATAATTTGTTGTGTCGCTTATTGTTAAAAAGATATTGATTATTATAACGTAGAGTTTATTGCGTCAAAGTTGCGACTTACATTGCTATTAATGGATCTAGAAAATATTTTTTAATAATGTTAGTCGAACTTAAGGATTTTGCAGATAGCTAAAAACTAAACTTATGTCAAGGTTGATTATTTAATTTTACGGCTTCTTATGAGAGAAGAAATATTTAAAGAGTTTTTAATCATGGTAATTCTTTACAATAAGGCCTTTTCCGAATTTTGATATTTTTTTACGGCTTCCTGGGTAAAAACCTTTGTTGTGACTCCGACAGTGATAATCAAATCGGGAGAGCCCGAAAAATATGTATTCTACCTATTTTATTACCTATTTTTACTTTATTTTTTTAGCCGTTTTTTCCAACATGGCTTTCTGAATTTTCCAACGTTATAAATATGTAGTGGCCCTTAAAAGGACCGATTATCTCTGTTCGTATACTGAGACAAAGTGTCCGTATATTCTCTATTATCCAAATACAGCAGTTAATGTCTAATTGTCCTTTTGTTATCATCGCGCGAGTATTCTCGTCCAAAGCAGTGAAAGGGTTAAAATAACTTTTAACTTCTTGTTTTTTTAACAATATACATTATCTTTACATTAAAAATGTGCATTATAAAAACGTATCTGATTAAAATAATTTTCTTAATTTAAAAAATAATAATTTGTAATTTGTAATTAAAATAATTTTTTAGATTTTTCTATTTTATTTAGTAATAAATAAATTACGGATATTACATCTTTCTTGTATGATTCAGAATTTAATTTAGATTAAGGTTTGACATTTTATTATCGTTATCACGGTTTGTTTGGAGTCGGTAGATTATCTGTCGACGATAATGCATGCTCGCGATAGTAAACACGTGAACTGATATAAATATTTCCAACAAGGTTGATAAATTCACATTCATGGTCCTCAAAAGGAAGTATTTGTCTGTTTCTCGATTAATACTTTAGAAGCAGTCGCAGAAGCAGTGTCGGTCAATTAAATGCCGCGTTCTACATTTTACTTTCTTTTTTTTTAAAGTGCACCTAGTTTGCTACGCATGCATAATTTCTTATTCTTACTCTTAATTCATTCGCTTCGATCGTTCAATATTGAGTGCACGCAACTATGTATATTACGCTTTATAAAAAGAGACACCTAATATTTTTCACAAAGCAGTGATATTTATGGTATTCCAGAATTATGTTTTAAAAGATAAATATTTAAATAGTGTCAAATCTAAGTGAGATTTTTGATATAATATTAAAAAAATAAAATTTAAAGTTAATTAAAATTGAAAAAAGTGCAACTTACAGAATTAATTTTTTTCGGAATTTACCTTCAATTATCTTCAACGTTTTGTTTTGTATTATTCGGAAAACGAGTAATAAATGTTGCAATTTTATAACTATAATTATTTTTTTTGCCAAAATCAGTTACTTTAAAATTGAATTAATTAAAATTAAAAGCTGTTTAATTAATTTTTATTTGGCTTCTTTATTTTATTTGTATAATCTTTATTTTATTAGCTAAATATGTTTAATTTTTGGATTATTAAATGGATTAGTATTTATTAAAAATTAATTAACAAATAAGTTGATAAAAATACTAGATTTGTTTGACGGTTTTTTTTAATCTTAGAGACCTTCAATTAAATCGACATTTATAAATTCTAGTGGAATTACAAGAAATTTCATGCAAACGTAATACTAAGGTTACTATCAGACGCGTTAAAACCCCTTATCAGCTTGTGTCAGTACTATAAATGTTTGAACAGTATTTCGTTCATGTAGTAATGTCAGTGTGACAGTGTGGTGCTTTAATGCGTGAGTCAACTTGCCTTTTCCTCATTGTCAGCGAAATCGTTTGTGCTAACGAACGTCGACGATGTCGTTCTCTGAAGATAACGAGAGGTAAGTAAATACTATATTATATTTGGTAAAAATGTCTGATCATAATCAATTTCTATGTAAAATAGCGACTTTGATAAAATGTAATTTACGGCATACAACATTTTGTTAAATTAAAATGATAAGTGTGATGAGATTACTAAGCAAATATATGTATAGCTAAATTTGTGATAATATAATAATTCATTATTTGTGTCATACAAAAGGCCAGTGAATAAAAATAAGAATTTATCAATAAAATTAAAAATATAAAAGTAAATTTAATCAATAATATAAATAAATGTAAAAAGTTATGTAATATTAAAAATGTAAAATAAAATACCCGGATTCGTACCATATAAAACATAATAACTTTATTTAAAATTATTTTATTTAAAATTTAATAAATATAATTAGATTAGGGGAGACCGGGCTATTCGTGACACATTTTTGTTTCAAATTTTTTTCTCGCTAAATGTTTAAAAAATTTTTATTAGTGCCATGTAATCGTCCATCTCTCTAGTTTAAAAGAAAAAAAATATATAGGTTTTTCTCTCACGAGTCTCGAAATATATCAAGAAATGTATCGCTGTGTCATGTGTCACGAATTGCCCCGAAGCCTGGGTAATTCGTGACAAATCACGGGATAATGCGTAACACTTTCTCTGATTGAACAAACTATATAGATTTCTTTTGTTTTTGCAATTTTTATCTACTTTATAAAAAGCCTTTATTTGTCAGAATTTACATATTATATGTATAAAAAATTATGAGGAAAAATGTAACGCCTGTTCCATTAATAGCCTTTATTGCTCACATTCGATTACGGGAAACTACTTCTCGAAGGCGTCCGCGGCCCCTGCGAATTGGTTTTTCCTTTGAACGCTTATTCGTGGCGTTTTTGGTTGCCCCGATTGCTCACGTCACGAAATGCCCCGGCGTGATTTTTCCTTATTCATGATCCGTGACTTATAGATAAGAAAGAATACCATAAAATCTACTCATGCATTATGCTTAGTGAAGTCGAGTGACTGAATACAACTTACCGTTTCGGATCTCTTATTATTTTATTCGACGAGAAAACAAATTTTTGGGATTTGAAAAAATTTACTTTGAGCACTTGAAATCAAACTTTCTGTCACTGAAAGAGAAAAATGGTTGACACGCAAATGCCATTCCGTTGGTACCTATATAGAGGACACTAAGAAACATGTCTGTGATTGATATTACAGGTTTCTAGCAGCAAGCATTTTAAAGTTAGGCCCGCGACAAAATTTCAGCAGTG